AATTTCCCTGAACCGCAAAACCTTGTGGTGAGTCTCCAGCAGGGTTCCAGCTACCGTCTCCCAGTGCCATATTAGAGGGTATCAGATGTGGTGCCTTTACCTTACCAAGGGATGTCACAAAATAATGGTGGAGGCTCCAGGGCAATGGATGCAGTACGATGCAGGCATATGACCTAGTGGATCACAGAATCCAGTGGCAGCATTTACAGCTGGGTTCTGGTATCCACACACTGGCTCTCCACCTGCACAGTGCTACAGATAGAGCGCTCATCTTTTTTTTGGTCAATGCAACTTGGTGCCCTTCAGTAATGGCATTGCATCATCTTCAGTTTTCAGAAGGGCTCTGTGTTGGTATGTCTCATCATGTGAGCCACTGTTATTTCTGAGCCCATAAAGAGGCGAGATCTGCAGCTGGAGGATCTGAAGGTTTATAGACTTTTGAATGATTTCTCCTCTAATGTCACTGAGAAGGTGGCATGTTCCCCCAAGGGCACTACGGTCGGGGAGCCAAAACCTCCTGGATATCCCAGGCCCCAAGGCCATCAAACTTGCTGTGACCAGGGCTAGGGCGTTTTCGGTGGCGGCTCCTACCTGGTGGAATGAGCTCCCAGAAGAGACCCGGGCCCTGTGGGACCTTGTACAGTTCCACAGGGCCTGTAAAATGGGCCTTGTACAGTTCCGCAGGGCCTGTAAAACAGAGCTCTTCTGCCAGGCTTTTGAGTAGGAGCCACCATTATTCCATCAACGCCTTTCCATCACCACACTCTACCACCGCTGGTGCGGGAATCATCGGGGGTGCAAGGCATCCTTAGTGGATGACAGGACTGTGGGGGCATATACTGTAGCTGTTTCTGTTATAACATCTTCAGAACACCATCTTGGTTTTATGATTTGGAGTGAGTATCGGAGCACTGATTTTTATTTTTACTAATTTTAATAATTGTAGTATGCTGTATTATTGTATTGTTGTATTGTTTTTATTGTTATAATCTGGCATTTATGCCCCTGTTAGCCGCCCTGAGCCTTCGGGAAGGGTGGGATACAAATCTAAAGAATGAATGAATAAATAAAGTTTCTTTACTCTGCTATAAAGGTACGCCAAGGGATCTCACAGAATTATATTTACATTGATGCATATGTATGTTGCGGTTTTAACCTACCTTTTAAACTGTATTTACTTGTATCAATTTTTTTCTATGCCAATAAAGGCTACTTTACTTTAAAATATATAGTCCAGAATAGAAGGAATTTTCTCCTAACTGAACCAAAGATGCAATGATGCATTCATAATCATAGAAACAGACGTTGTTCCAGGGTTTCTCTTTTATTTAATGGCCTCGTACACACAACCAAGGACAAACTGGCTCAGAGACCCTGCAATTTCCACAGGTCACACAACTTATTTCTGTGTGTGTTCCTTGTCTTGCTAAATTCCACAGCCTTGGGCTAAGTAGTAAAAGTTCAGGATGTCAAATATAATTAAAAAAACCTAAAGCAGTGGGATAACAGAAACAGTGCCGTAAGTGCAATCAACAGCATTTCATGCATATAGGAAGATATGTTGAAGCCACCAGTCTTGTTTTGACAAAACACAGCTATTTCCCTAGTTCATTAAATAAATGTGAGATACAGAAACAGGTTCCAGTGTGGAAAGCGAAATAACATAAAAAGAGTCCCGTGAGTCAAGGCTTGATGTTGCCATTGCCACAAAGGAAGAACATAAGTAGCGCCTGCTGGATCACACCAATGGTCCCCCTAGTCATGCGATCTGTTTCACACAGTGGCCAACCAGTTACAGAGAGCTAGCAAACAGAACTTAGAGGTAAAGGCCTACTAGCACAGGTATTCAGAGGTTTACAGACTATGGGAATTCCCATGGCTGGTAAGTACTCTACGAATCTGTCAAATCCTCATGCTTATGGACATCACTACATACACCACCAGTGAATTCCACGTTCTAATTATTTATTGAGTAAAGTATTTTCTTTTGTCCGTCCTGAGTTAACCTTAATCATCATTGGGTGTCCCCATGTTCCCTTGAGTTTTTTGTTGTTCAGTCGCACAGTCGAGTCCGACTCTTCGCGACCCCATGGACAAGATCACGCCAGGCCCTCCTGTCTACCCCATGTTTAATGTTATAAACCTCTATCATGTCCCCCTGCCATGTTGCCATTTTTTTAACTGAAAAGTCACAGACTCTTTAGTCTTTCCCCTAGGAAAGGTGCTCCAACCCCTTAATCAAGTTGGTTGCCCTTGTTCCACATCTCATCCAACTGAGCTATGACAACTCAAACTGTACACACCACAACCTAGAGCGACATGATAGTGGCCATTTTTATTTTTAGTTCCCCCAAATCCCCAGCATTGAATTTTTGCTCTTTTCTACTTGCAGGATCACTTGACATGTTCATTGGACTATCCAGTACAACCCTGAGGTTTCTTTCCCTCTCGGTTTTGGACAGTTCAGACACCATCGGCATATCCTCAAAAGATACAAATTTTTGTTCCAATCTGTATCTGTAAAGAAAAATTGGTATCTCTGCAAGAAAGAGATGCTTTGAATTGCTGAAACTACCTGCCTGAGATGAACCAGCACTGGGTTACTTGTAACCTTGCTTTAATGTATTAGCTAAGCTGGATATGCCTAAAATTTATTGGGTTATGTCCTTCACAGTCTTGTCTTTTATCTATTTTTTCCACCTTAAATAAAATAATTATATCTTTGCCTCAAACCCTTCTTCCAGAAGCCTTGGCCTTTGACCACCTACCTGGTAACTGATTTGGTTTGGAAACACAGTCTGCAGTCCTATCCTGCAGGGCTGACTTTTCTTGTTAATTCCCTGAGAGGCCAGAAGACTTGTCCTTTCACTCCTGAGCTGCTGGGATAGACTGAAAGGACTGGTGGCACCTACCAAGACTAGGGTGAGATTGGTCTCTCTCTGGTATTTTTGTAACTTTGTTTTCGTAGTAGCTCCCCTTAACAAAAATCCTTAGCCTGGGTTTGGATAAGGACTTTTGACAGGATCATCTTTCAGTTCCCTACGCTGAACATTAGCCACATTGTTGAATACACCGAATTTAGATACATCTTTCTGCAACTGTTCACATTTTGCATGAATTACGATTAGGGTTACATTACAGGAAGAACGATGGCAAGCTTCAGCCATCTTTTTTTTAATTTTACTGCAATAGACTAGCACAAGTAGAGACCCACAAGAAACTTGTGGAGGGGGTGCATCTCTTCCCCCTCTTTCCCCTTCTCTAACAATCTTTTCCCTCTTTCCCCCCTCCCCTTTTCTGCCAACCTACCCCCATCTCTTTTGCCCCCATCTTTTCTCTGTCAATCGACCCCCCTCTGTCAACCTACCCCCCAATGCCCCCTTACTCCCATTCCCATTATCTGCAAACCTACCCCCATCTCTTCCCCCCACCTTTCAGCTCTCCCTCTGTACCCCCCACACTTGGCATTCACTCAACCCCACCCTTGTGGCTCTTCCCACCTACCCCCTACCCCTGGCACTCCACTCACCTCCACCTTTGCTGCTCTCCCTATCTTCCCCCGCCCCTGACACTCCACTACCCTCCACACCCTTGGCATTCACTTACCCCCACCCTTGCTGCTCTCCCCTTCTACCTTCCAGCAGGAAGGCAGGAGGTTGCTGGCTTAGCAGGTGGTGGTGGTGAAGTCTTTCTTCCTGACTCAGTTGGGGGGATTGTAAAAGTCACGGGGGGGGGAATCACATCATCCCACACTTTCTTGCTGGGCCTGCTGTGGCTCCCGGGTTGCTGTGCCACCACCACCAGGTCCAATGTGGCTCCTGCACCAGGCCCAGGACAGCTGCCAGGCTGCCACACTGCCAGGCCCAGCATGGCACCCAGCTTACTGCACCCCCTGAGGTAGGTGCCACCTCTGTGCTAACAGAGGATGACCTTTTACTTGTGGTGGATTTTAGGTTTTTCTTCAAACCTAGGGGGTCCCACAAGTTTGCAGAAACATCGGTTTAGAGCAAATGTGGCTCTGATCCATGAATTTAGGTATCTGCAGATGGGGGCCACACTTGGGAAATACATATGTAGATATAGACTAGTTGCTCCACTGGAATGACTCTCCTTTTACTATCTTTAAGATATTTTCACTTTCATCTATACAAGAGTTTTTTTTAAAAAAAGCCTTTACCCTTCTGTAATAAACTACTCAAAAGGAAGGAGACCCTGAATATAAGATGATCCTCCATAAAAAATGTTATACTCTCCCAGTATTACTGGATATAATTGTAACTTGTATACAAATGTAAGATGACACCCACCCTTTATGCCATAACGGGGGGGGGGGGGGGCTAGACTTGCATGTGAGTACAGTGTTTGTAAGAGCCTTGGATGCAAGATAACAAGGTCAGTTCAGACAGTAGAGGTTCATCCAAGGGACATATAAAGCCCGTGGTGACATCACGAGCCATTAGTCCAATCTTTTGCCTCTGCTCTTCTCTCTATATGTATGTTTCAAAATCCCAAGCATCACAATTGTAAAGTAGCCCTAATCACTACTGCTTTAATCTGGACAGAAAACTGAGTTACATATTTCAAGGTTAGGATGCTAGGATACATGTTCCAGCCTTCCGGGAAGCAGCAAACCCCTTGCCTATTGGGCAACAGCTCATGTATCCCTGACTTATATTTCAACACATATTTTTTTCAGCATAGAATAACAACAAGGAGAAGAATGCTGCAGTCATAGCTAACTAACTCTACCAACATGTTGCTGGGGGGGGGGGGGGGAGGATACATCCTGCTGTGCCATCATTGAAATTGTTGGATCCCACTACATTTGTGTCAGTTTTTGCAATACAGCCACGCTAGAAATTCCAGTGGGAAAGAAATATTTTGTCTCGCACAGGCCTCCATGTGTGTGAGGAAGCAAGACGGCACCTGCTCTACAGTTTTTCTCTCTCTGCACAATCGATAACAGTTAAGGAGGGAAGATTTTTCTTTATGACACTTACTCGGGGTGTTGAGCAGACGTGACTTTTTGCAGTGGTAAGCGGCTTCCTGTTCACAGTATTCAGCACTATTTATCATTGCCTCCAGCTGCTCTGTGCTGCTGTTGTAGTTGAAGTTCAGGGTATATGGTGTCCCCGGATCAGCCCCGTGGACTTGAGTCAGTCCAGTGTTGTTGTGTTGGACCACAGTCCAGATCTTGTCTTCTGTGAAGCCAAATATAATTTAAGAGAGATAAGCAAGTCTGAAGTATTCGAAGCCCCATGGATAACTTTATTAGATACCACAGCATCAAGACACAGACCACTGAAATGAATGCCTTTAGATATGGTATTAATTCAAAACCGGGAAACAGCCAAACACCATTTTTAAGCCAAGGTATACACTGATACGGATCAGACTTAAAAATAGGCTTATCTGAAGCACTCAATGAAATTGCTGAGTGGTCAGGTGAGAATGGATAAAAGGAAGTACTTCTTCACTCAAAGAGTGATTAACAGATGGAATTCACTGCCACAGGAGGTTGTGGCGGCTACAATCATGGACAGCTTTAAGAGGGAATTAGATAAATATATGGAGCAGAGGTCCATCAGTGGCTTTAGCCACAAGGTATGGATAGGGACTCTGGGGCAGGCGATGCTCTATATACTTGGTACTTGGGGGGGGGGTCAACAGTGGGAGGGCTTCTGGAGTTCTGGCCCCACTGGTGGACCTCCTGATGGCACCTGGTATTTTTGGCCGCTGTGTGACAGAGTGTTGGACTGGATGGGCCTTTGGCCTGATCCAACATTGGCTTCTCTTATGTTCTTATGAATAACCCAGAAGGAACATGGATATTTATTTAGTTTATAAATTTATACTTCACCTTTCTGATCTCACAAGAGTCACCAAGGTGGCTAAAACATACATAATGCAATCACAATTTAAAACCATTAAAACCAGTCCCTCCTCAAAAACACAGATCAAAGCAATTAAATCTAGAGCTAAAATCCATACAAAGACATAAAGACAATTAAAACATTGGTCAGGAAGGAAGGATCACTGAGGAGGCACCAAATCAAACAAAGTCTCCTCCTGTTGGTGGAAGATGGCAACAGAAGGAGACGGACAAAACTCCCTGGGGAGAGAGTTCCAGAGTTTTAGTGCAACAACTTAGAAGGCCCTCTCCTGGATTTCTACCCACCTAATAACCAAAGGTCGGGGGCACCTGAAGCAGGGCTTCTGAAGATGACTGCAGTGGTCAGATGAGTTCAGAAGGGAATAGGCAATCCTTCAGGTACATTAGTCCCAAACCAGATAGGGTGAAGAAGAAGAAGAAGAGTTGGATTCATGCCCCCACTCTTCACCTGGAGTCTCAGAGCAGTTTACAATCTCCAGTTTGGCGTAGTGTTTATGAGGGCGGACTCTAACCTGGGAGAACCAGATTTGATTCCCCACTCCTCCACATGCAGCTGCTGGTGTGACCTTGGGTCAGTTACAAGTTCTTTCAGAGCTGTTCTCTCACAAGCAGTTCTCAAAAGAGCTCTCTCAGCCCCACCTACTTCACAGGGTGTCTGCTGTGAGGAGGGGAAGGGAGATTGTAAACTGCTCTGAGACTCCTTCGGTTAGTGAAAGGTGGGGTATAAATCCAATCTCCTCCTCCTCCTCCTCCTCCTCCTCCTCCTCCTCTTCTTCTTCTTCTTCTTCTTCCTCTTCTTCCTCTTCTTCTTCCCTTCCTCTCAGAGCTGTTATCTTAAGAGCAGTTCTTTCAGCCCCACCTACCTCACAGGATGTCTGTTCTGGGGAGACGAAGGAGATTGTAAGCCACTCTGAGACTCCGAGTGAAGGGCAGGGTATAAATCCAATCTCCTCCTCCTCCTCCTCTTCCTCTTCCTCTTCTCCTCCTCCACCTCCTCCTCCTCCTCTTCTCTCCCCAACAGACACCTTGTGAGGTAGGTGGGGCTGAAAAGAACTCTGAGAGAACTTTGAATTTCTTCCTCTTCTTTCTCATTTCAAATGGAATGTCTTTTAGAATCTTGATAGTATTTCCATTGATTTTCAGAGGTGTTCCTGAAGTTGTTTTCAGGGTTTGGTCCCTCACATGTCTTTTTGAGAATCTAACCACTATTTCTCCAGGCAGATTATTTTTCTTAATATATTCTGAATATGATCTATAGACCACATCCATTTCGCTTTGAAAATATTCTGTTTTTAAATCTGCAACTGGTACCAGTAAATCGCCCAAAACTTGTTTTAGATTCTCTCCTTTTGTCTCAGGAACCCCTTGGAATCTCAGGATAAAGCTTGCTTTTTCCATTTGTAGTTGTAAAAGCTGAGATTCATCAGTCATTCTTTTCTTTTCCAACTCCTGTACATGCTTTTTCACCTTTTTAGATTTGGCATTAACTTCCTTCTGTGTTTCTGCTGTTTGCTCTGTTAATTTCTTAGTTTCGTTCAGTTCCAGTTGTTGTGCAGCAAAGTTCTGGTTCAAAGTAGTCAGTTGCTGATTGATGTTTGTTATCTGGTCCAGCAGAGGGCACAAAGATTCAGCTAACAGCTGTGAAAGCTCTTTGGTAGCTTCCGGTCGTGGGCTTCTACTTCTGGAAGGAGGCTTGAGCTACGATAGTTTCTCTTTCTCGCCTCTCCGCCCTGCCATTTTTGAGGATTGTTTACTTTTAAGAACATTTGCTAAAGTCTGTTTTTCACCAAGATGCTTTACTGTGCTCTTGTGTGCTTCTTAAATCAGTACTATAGCTTTTTCATCCGGCGCCCTCTTTTTAAAATGTTCTATTTGGATTTCGCATCTGGGAGTTCCCTCCCCCGCTCGCTTAAATCAGAGGGGTTTTCTGGCCAAAACTCAGTGTTCTGCTTTCAACTCAACTCACAGTTCATCGTTGGTCCTAGGACCCACCTCAGGTACGTGTAAAATGCCCGATCTTCACGCGCTTGTCCCGGTCAGCGACTCTCGAGCCATATGGCCGCTCAGCGGTAGGACCTTCAGGGCAGAGGGAAGCCTCAATTCACTGGCATTGAGCTGGAGAAGAGGCAATCCCTCAAAAGCCCCCTGGCTATGAGCCCATACTCAGGGCTCCAGAAGGGGGGGTAGCGAAAAATCGCCCCCCCTAGCTGCTGGCATTTGGATCGCGGCCCCGGGAGCTCACCAGGGTCACATCTGCCATTGTGCCGCCAAAAACTGGAAGTCCTCATAAGGAGGCTTTCCTAAATGAACAATGCAAAGTAACAAAAAAAATAGAATGGGAAGGATGAGAAATCTCTTCAAGAAAATTGGAGAAATCAAAGGAACGTTCCATGCAAAGCTGGCCATGATAAAGGACAAAAGTGGTAGGGACCTAACAGAACCAGAAGAGATTAGGAAGAGGTGGCAAGAATATACAGAAGAACTATACAAGAAGGACCTCAATGTCCTTGACAACCATGACGGTGTGATCGTTGACCTCGACCCAGACATCCTGGAGTGCAAAGTCAATTGGGCCTTAGAAAGTATAACTAACAACATGGATAGTGGAGATGACAGTATCCCAGCTGAACTATTCAAAGTCCTAAAAGATGATGCTGTTAAAGTGCTGCACTTAATATGTCAGAAAATTTGGAAAATGCAACAGTGGCCACAGGATTGGAAAAGGTCAGGTTACATTCCAATCCCAAAGAAGGGCAATGCCAAGGAATGTTCAAACTATCACACAATTGCACTCATCTCACATGCTAGCAAGGTCATGCTCAAGATCCTACAAGCTGGGCTTCAGCAGTATGTTGATAGAGAACTGCCAGATGTACAAGGCGGGTTTCGAAGAGGTAGAGGAACAAGAGATCAAATTGCCAACATTCACTGGATTATGGAGAAAGCAAGGGAGTACCAGAAAAACATCTACCTTTGCTTCACTGATTATGCTAAAGGCTTTGATTGTGTGGACCACAACAAACTGTGGCAAGTCCTTAAGGAGACTGGAGTTCCAGACCACCTCACATGTCTCCTGAGAAACTTGTATAAGGGTCAAGAAGCGACAGTTAGAACCGGATATGGAACAAGTGATTGGTTTAGCATAGGAAAAGGAGTATGACAAGGATATATATTGTCACCCTGCTTCTTTAATTTATATGCAGAGTACACCTTGCAAAATGCTGGCCTGGATGAATCACAAACTGGAATTAAGATTGCCGGGAAAAACATCAATCTCAGTTATGATGACAATACCACTCTAATGGCAGAAACTGAAGAGAACCTAAAGAGCCTCTTGCTCACAGTAAAAGAGGAGAATGCAAAAGTTGGCTTGAAACTCAACATCAAAAAAACTAAGATCATGGCATCCGGCCCCATCACTCCTTGGCAAACAGAAGGGGAAGTCATGGAAGCAGTGACAGAATTCATGTTTCTGGGATCCAAGATCACTGCAGATGGTGACTGCAGCCATGAAATTAAAAGACACCTGCTCCTTGGGAGGAAAGCGATGGTAAACCTTCAAAGCATAATAAAAAGTAGAGACATTACACTGCCAACAAAAGTCTGCATAGTCAAAACAATGGTATTCCCAGTAGTAATGTATGGCTGTGAGAGTTGGACCATAAGAAAGGCTGAGCACTGAAGAATAGATGTTTTTGAATTATGATGCTGGAGAAGACTCTTGAGAGTCCCTTGGACTGCAAGCAGATCAAATCAGTCGATCCTAAAGGAAATCAAACCTGACTGTTCCCTGGAAGGCCAGATACTGAAGCTGAAGCTCAAATACTTTGGTCACCAAATGAGAAGGGAGGACTCACTGGAGAAGACCCTGATGCTGGGAAAAATTGAAGGTAAAAGAAGACGGGGATAGCAAAGGATGAGATAGTTAGATAGTGTTATCGATGCAACAAACATGAAATTAAGCAAACTCCAGAGGATGGCGGAAGACAGGAGTGCCTGGTGTGATATGGTCCACGGTGTCACGAAGAGTTGGACTTGACTGTGTGACTGAACAGCAACAAAAAGAGTTCAGTAAGCAAGAGTAATAAGCAAACATGATATTTAGTAACATTGAGTGTTTTTTCTAAGACAAAAATACCTACAATGGCTGTATCCCTTCAAAGCTCCAATATTATTTGGTAAATGTCAATCAGGTTTTATATATAAAAAAACCCAATATCAAATGCTGTTCAAAATAGGGCAAAAACGTATCAGAACAATAACAAAATTTACCAAAACCATGGAAAATTACATTCAGCCAAAGCTTAC